TTCGAATGGAACGTAATTAATGGACAGTTCCCTTGACTATGCCTGCCGTTAAAAGTGAAGTACAATGGTACTGAGGGCTGACCTGTTTCTAATTTCATGACTCTTATCTCTTTAAATAGCCAAACTAAAAATGGTAATTAGTTGAAAAAAAAGAATCTGCAAAAGTAACTGAATGTTTATGCATGAAAATTCATATTTATGTTCATAAAACATTTTTATAGTTAAAAATTTTTGCAATGCAGAAAATACATCAAGAAATCGTTGAAAATTTTTCTGTATTCATATAAAAAAATTTAACAATATTTTAAAAAGCCGTGGAAATATTCGATTCCTGTCAGATTGTTAAATAAGCAATACAGGTTGCAAAAATTACGGTTTGCGTCATTGCTTTTCTTTTATTCGGATTCGTTTTCCATAGCACTTGGGTTACCACTGCTTCGTACAGTAACCCAACAATTATTTTAACTGGGCAGCAGGATGGAAGAAACATAAGACAAGACGATATGCGCGAAGCTTATTATTGGTTGAGAAAAAACACTAAACAAGTTAGTTCTTAAATATTTAATTTTAAAAAATAAAAAATTAAATTCTTAAATCAAACTTAAACTGATGTATGCTTTCTAATCATTTTCTGATCATTTCTAATCATTAAGGCAGTATTACCAAATTATTAGAATCGATAAATCGTCAATAGATTATCATTGGCTTTTTTATAGGACTCAAAAATAGCAACTTGGTGGGACATAGGATATCATATAACTGCTATCGCTAATCGAACAGCGTTTATAGATGGTAATACGTGGAACAATACTCATATTGCTCAAATTTCTCTTGTAAAATTTATATTTCAGATGTCCACTTCTTGCAAATTTACGATAAAATAATTTAAGTGGCCAAATTTCTAGCTCGTTCAATCCTTCAGAAGGGCCAATAAGGATATTATGCCCCTTTTTAATTTAATTGAATTTACTTTTTTTTTATGATAATTACCTTACTATTGAGACCACGATTCAGATCATTGAATTTAATTAAATTCTTCTTCGAACAGCTCTCACCATAACTGTTTAGGTTGGCTCTGCTGGCTATAAGGGTAAGACATCTCCAAGCTGGTCGGTCCAACACTATTGCCTACTGTAATAGAAGCCATTCCTTTTTTCATCGTCTACGTTTAAAATATCTTTCCTGTTTGTGTCAGTCAGGTCTTGACTGGCTCTCTTCGCTTTTGACGCCAATCACGGGGTTTAACAAGTAACGAAATATGCATGGTGGATGACGTAGAATGTGCCTTAACCAGCGAAGGCGACGGGCTGTGATAAAATTATTAATGCAGGTGGTAATTGAGCGAATAATTATAAATGTTTATAATTATGTGCGATTTTATCTCTCGATGGATACGCAAAATATATCTTAGACAAGAGTGGTCAAAGGTTGAGAGCTTCTTAATGTCTTCCATTCTCATTGGCTATGTTTCGCAGCCATATAGCAAGATTAAACGAATCACGGCCATGGCTATATAGATGCGATCTTTCGCCTTTCTGGTAATTTCGCGACGGTTTCATAAAGGTTTCATCATCCAGAAAAATATTTCTAGCTACGTTATCCGAGTTATAATTTCATCCTTCGCCTAGCCATTTGGGATTAGAGTGGATCCAAGGCATTTAAAGTCGGGCACATCCTCAATCGGCAATGAATTGATAAAAATAGGTATTTTATCAGGAATTTTATTTTGGTTAGCATGATTCAATTAATATCAGAGTCGTAAATAAAATTTTGACTCTCAAAAAAATGTCGTATTACAAAATGTCGTATATGCATATTACAAATGATGCGGTTTTTTAAGGCTCTTGTTTCAAATGAAGAGGAAGGCTATCAAATATTAAAAAGGCTTGACGCTGATTACGTAGCTTTAACATTTGGTGGATACAATGCGCATGAAACAGATGGTTCGTTTATATTCTATGAATTTCTTTATTACCGTAACTGTCTTAGTCGGAAAGATTAGCTTAGAAATCCAATCTAAAAATTATAAAAGATTTTGGATTTTCATATTCCATACAATTAAACGAAATATAATTTTTAAGCATTTTTGAGGAAAAATGAACAAATGAGAATGGTTGTGATAAAATGATCATTGAACTATTGTTAATATCATTACCTTACATTCA